GTTTTTAACATGATCAAATATAACACTATCAGATCGTGAAGAATGTTCTTTAAGTCCTAGTTATTAAGCACCTATCTGTCTTACCAATATAATCACTATTGCAGCCTGGACATTTCAAATGATAGACAACAGAACTTCTGTACTCCTTAGGGGTTTGATCCTTAGTAGATATAAAATGAGAAACATTTTTATACTGCCATAAAGTTATGAATTTTACCTCTTTAATTAAGTGTTTCTTTACCTTATTTAAACATCTACGTAAAATGAACTCACCTGGTTTTCCTAGATAAGGCAATCTAACCCAAATCTAAGTCAAGCTATCATCAGTAGGCCTATGTATACATTTAGGTTCATTTAATTTCTTAAGTACATTATTAACAACTTTTAAAGGGTACCCATTCCAAGACATAAACTTCCTGATGTTACTAAGCTCTGTTTGAAGTTTATCAGGAGTACACAATCTGTGGGCTCTAGAAACTAAACTACGAATCCAGGAGATCTTATGGTTCCATTGAGCAAAGCTATCATAATAACATATTGACCTGTATGTGTATTTTTACGATATATACTCATACTTCCTACACTGTTGTTAAATTGTAAATCCAGAAAGTGTACTGTGTCACTGTTTTCAAATGATTCAAAAGTAAAATTAAGATTCAAAAGTAAAAACGATCCTGGCAAACTAATCTGTTCCGAGACAAGGGCTCATTCAGGGTATTAGATCTTCACGCCTAATTTACATGGCCTTCAATTGGTCGGTTTCCTTTATTTTTGGACATTTCCCTCACCCATGTTTCTATTGGTTAATCAAGGACATATAACTTTTACGAGGATAGCAAGCTGGCTTGTCTAAGCCTTGCACAGTACCGTGAATCACCCTTATGTGTGGATTGTTATGCTAATTAAGAGTTTAGATGGTCTGCGCAATATGCTCAGGAGTGTTTCATGTTTTGACAATGTGGAGGTTGCTGAATGTTGAATATGTAATATATAAAGCATATTTGAGTTTGTGAGCAATACATTATTTTGTAAGTAGTACGTATATAAATAATTTTATTGCACTAGTTAGTTGATACCTTCTAATTTGTTTCGGGTATATGCTGTTTGCATCTTTTATGCGGTTTGACAAGGCATATATACTTAGCTTGGCTTATTAATACGCCTAGCATTGGTGCAGTTGCCTAAGAATGCTGTTTCCCCCTCTTATGTTCTTGTTAACAGTGCCAGCTGGCATAATACGGTACCGTAAAACAAATACAAAATAGGGGTACTAATTTCATCTGACATGCAAATCAATCTTACTTATACACTTAAAAACAAAATAATCTACCAATAAAATCATTTGTTAGTTAACATTTAAGGCACGTATTTTCACAAATTATATTTTTAAATTGATGTGATTATGTTTTTTCAGTATAATACAATGAATTCGACATAAGTCATATCAAACCGCATATGAAATGCAATTATAGTGATCCAAAAACAAATTAGTATGAAGTTATATAAAAATTAAAATTATTCATATACTTAACTACAAAATCAAAATGTATTGCTCATAAACGCAAATATTGTTGATTTTCAGTAGGCCTACAAATTCAACATTTAGCAACCTTCACAGATTTTAACGCATGAGACACTTTTGAGCATGTGCAGAACATCTGAACTTGTAATTAATAAAACACTTAAGGCTTATTCACGGTACAATGCCCAGACCAGCCAGTTTCCTATCCTGGTAACAGTTATAAGTCCTTTGGGTAATATACCACCGAGTGTAGTTATTTTTTGTTGACCAGAAAAGAAACACACCAAAAGATAGATTATACAGTCAAAGTTATCCGTCGATGATGTAGCACAGTTAAATTTATAACACTACAAAATGTATTTTAATTGATGCTATGCCTTCACAAAAATTTAATTAACTTAATACATACTTAGATAAAATAAATACACACTAACACACATACATATACTTACAAACTGTAGAGTACGTACATACATCTTCATACATATTGTACTATAATGACAATACGCTAATTAGGACTAACTTCTCACGTGTACCTTTCATAATGTTATGCAACCGCAACGAATTGTCTTTGTTTAAATTATGACCCATTATGGCCCAATACCACCTGGCAAAATGCTAGGTGGAAATGGGATAGGTGGCAACAGGATTAATGTGGCAAAGGGCAGGGTGAAAAAAGTCCGGGTGCAATGGGCCTTTTCATACTTTTTTTTAAAACATTCTATATTCAGGTATAACAATTCTCAAGAATGCAATTCAGGATTGAAATCAAGAGCTTATAATCGAATCAAAATAATTAAAAATACAGAATTATATAAACATCATATAAAATGATTAATATCATAGAAAGCAAAAACTCATTGACAAAAAGACCTATTCAAACTAGCAATACCTTATATATGCCTATATAATACAAAAAAAAAATAACTATTGAATTGCACATTAAAATATTTATAAAATTAAATGTACTATTCAGGAAATACAAGTAAATTAACAAAATATCTCTATTGTTTATAAAGCCAATGACACTAGGAATGGTAGACCTGGCAAATCTTTTTGTTCGACAGCTTGGCACTACATACTGATTCACTTTTTGAAGCAATCTAGTCCAGTTCTTCTCTTTTAGGGTTCTATTAATTAAAGCGATTAAATAATAACAGATTCTTCCCAAAATGTTGAAGTATGAAATCAAAATCAGTGCATCGAGAGAATTCGCATATCCTTGCTATTCATTCAGAAAAAAAACAACTTCAAAAGTCGTACCGAAGATAGGCGTAACAGATATTGGCCTACTGGTCATCGGGAATAGAAGCCTTAATAGGCTTTTTAGGAACTGGAGTAATCATAGCATTATTCCAGCTAGACAGGTGTATAGAAACTCAAGAGAGGGGAGCAAGCTCCAGAGAAAATTCCCTAATTAATCGAAGTGGTATATATTGAGAATGACAGAATTTATTAACATAAATCGCTTTTAAAAAGTTATAAACCTGCCCATGGTATATAACAGGGGTTTAAGATGGGAAAAAAGGCTGCTAATTTTTGCAGATTAAGTAACGGTAAGTACGAACAAATACTAGCATAATGCTTATTAATAACATTTGTGACATCATTAGGGACACAACCAAGCTCATGTAATAAGGATTGTGGTTTCGATCGTCCAAAGATCTTCTGTACTTTTTTATGCCACTTAAAACGTTCATTTTTCATAAGAGAAGCAATAGATTCGCCGTAGAAAGAGGACTTGGCCAATTTAATTTCATAACGTACTAATCTTTATGCCCTGATTAAACCAGGGAGGGCCTATCATTTTCCTTACGCGAACATTAACTGAAGGAGATTATTTTTATAGGTATCCATTACACTTTCAAGTTTAACAGCGAGGTACTCAGAATCGTTTATGTTTACAAGAATCAAATTATACCAATCAATCCCTGTAACAACTTTACCAAAACGCCTCATACACGAATTCTACAAAGGGGACGTTCAACCAACTTACCTTTTTATATGCTTTTATTTTACAATTAAGAGGTTAGTACAAAATGAAGCATGGTCACTGCGATCTAAAGGAGAGAGTTTGAGTGGAGATTGATAAAGATTAGAAATATTATTTAGGATTTTATTAAGGCAGGTGTTTCAGCGAGTCGAAAAACCAATAACCTAGTTTAAGAAAGTGTGGTGAATTAAAGTCACCCATTATCATAAATAAGGAATTAGCCCTTGTACTTCGAAAATGATAAAGTTTAGAGCGTAAATATTCAATAAAATGGCGGGTACATGAGTTAGTAAATGTTAGTATACTTGCAGCTACGCCTTGAAGTCTTTGAAGCATGTTAATGTGGGTTTTAGGAGTTTTAAATAAAACAGAGTTAATATAGTCAAGAGAAAATTGAAGTGTGCCGAAGTTTGCTTTGATATGTATTTTTTGATAAGTGCTATGTAACGTATAGGAAAGTTAACAGATTTTATGAGTTGACCGATTTGATTTTTCATAGAAAGTTTGTCATCAAGTGTGACGCCAAGGTTAGTAATAGTTGAAGAAGTTTCAATGATAGATGAACCAATATGAAGTGAGTCGATGTTAATTTTGAGCGAGATTGAGTAGTGCCGAAGATAATGAATTTAGTTTTATTTTCGTTGAGTTTTATTTTTCGTTGAGCATTAGCATATTATTAGACAACAAACTGTGGATATCATGGAGGCGGGTTTCAAGATGTTTTAATTAGGTCAAAGTCAGATGGATCAAAATAAATATAAAGCTGGATGTCATCAGTATATATGTGATAATAAAGGTTAAGGGACGAGATACTTTTGGAAAGAGGGAATATGTAAAGGGAAAAAGAAAGGGCTAGGAATAGAACCTTGCAGAACTCCATATTCAATAATTTGAAATTTGATGTAATGTTGTTAAATTAAAGAGATTAAGTTCAATTAATTAGATATGATAAAAACCAGTTTAGGGCCAATACCATAAATTAAAAATTGAGAGGATAATCTGTGAAGCTGTCGAATGCAGCCGAAAGATCAAAGAGTATAAGGGCAACAACCCATTTCCTATCCAGAGCAATAATAATATTATTGTGTATTTTTTCAAGGGCAGTTTCAGTACTATGACCTGCCTTATAATATGCCCATTGAGAGGGATCAAACAAATTAAATTGAGTGAGATATTAAATTAACTGAGAGGAAATTACTTTTTTCGATAGGTTTGGCTTGCTAAGGTAGATTATAAATTGGCCTAAAAGTTTGGAATTTTTTTGGGGATCAAGAGACAATTTTTTCAATGTTGGGGTGACTACAGCAATTTTAAGATTATCAGGAAAAGAGCCGCCGATTTCAAGAGGTCTATTGATTAATGAAGCAATGTCTTAGTTTTTTTTTTAATACGTTGCTTAATAATATATCTCTATCAGAATTCTATTTGGTGTTAGAACATCGACGTTCAAGCCGACGCAGATCGCTTACTTTTTGTTTAAGTGATTGGAATACCATGTTTGTTATTGTTTTTATTTCTAACAATAATTTCCTTATTCGGGGCAAGATCAGACAACATTGAACACAGATTAGTTTGCAGTAATAACGTATAGTCGTTTACAGACACTGACAAAGCGTTTTTAACGATGGTAGTACTCATAGCACCAACACAATCATTTAGCTTATCAATATCAATATTCTTAGTGC